CTGAACCACAAAGCCTATATATACACGTTCATATATTTTAAAAAAGAGAGAACACAAGGCAGGATAGGTAATCTTTTTAATTCTCCATTAGCTAAATAACATTAGTTTTTAGGAGCCTGTCTGGTTAGTATTATTCTGATAAAGGATGTATGAAGAAGGCATGGAGAGATCTGTGAGCTGAATCAGCTTTTAATAAGCAATCCAGTGTCCCATTCACATTTCCACCATTAACATTTGAGTGAAATCAGAAATAGAAAAATCCTGAAGATAACATTCTTGGTTCTATCACAAGAATGCTGCTCAGCTGCATTTTCTGTTGCTGTGTGGGATTTGTCCAGCTTTGAGCAAGAAACGCTTTTCTTTTGGTAAGTTTAAGACAGAGTTCAGCCTTACAACTGAGTGCTGGGTATGGGCCTAAATGTAGCTTCCAGACAGAAATGAGTGGAGCATTTGACAAAACTTCTAAAAGTACAAAAATTGTTCCTGTTCTGCACTGGAACATCCACAGGATGCACTGAAGAGCTCCTGCTTTCTCAGTTTCTTAGCCCTGAATACACATACAGGCACTATGTTCATCTCAAAGATGGTGTAGACTAAAGCTCCTGCTGCCTGACTCCTATCTGTGAATTATGTAAAGCTAGCAGCTATTCCAAGGTATGACTATATCCCAGTGTCTCCTGTTGTAGCAGTTCAACGCTGTATACCTAAATATGCATGGAGGGAGAGAGAGAAACTGACTCTAAGCCAGTGCTGAAGACATTTATCTAAGGCATGAGAAAACAGCCAGGAGGAGCTGTACACTGTACAGGACAAGCAGGTTATCAGTTATGCTACCATTTTGCACTCACACTGTGCTAAGGAATGTCTGTCTGTCATTGAAAATTTAATTGCAGCTGATACAAGCCTGCAAAATGTTTACATTTTGGAATTGCTTTTTCTCAGATATGTCTTTCAGAAAAAAAAAAAAAGAAAAAAGCATTTGCACTGGCTTTATTTTTGAGGGAGAACATAGACTCTTCCCATGGATTTTGGATGAGACCCACATTTGGGCAAATTTTAATAATCTTGCCTGAATTTCGATTTGCCTGAATCCAAGGAGCAAGACGTAGACCAGGTTTCTCAAATGCTTTATGGATCCAAGCAGCAGATGTCTGCATAGCTCAATATTTTGATAAAGGAATTTCTACCCTAGGACCTAGCTCTGGGGATTTTTTTTCTTCTGCCTCCTGGGGTAATAGGCTAAATATGAGGAACTTTCTGCTGAGTATTATGAATACCTGAATCATTATGAATATCTGAATACTCAAAGATTTCTTCTAGCCCTGGAACAAATGCTGATAACATTCATTTGCTGGCAGCACACGAGTAAAAACAACAAAAACAGCTTTTATCATTGAATTGGTACTTGGAAACGTGCAGTGCTGGTGCACTTACGAGTGCTGAAGAAAGCAGTTCACTGCAGGCAGGGGATGCAGAGACAATGTAAGGAGAAAACAGTGGCTTGCTTTAGTTTTGCTATTTGAATATATTAACTTTATTCTCTAGTATTTCAACAAAGCTCTGAAACCAAGAGGCCATCATGAAAACCACAAACATGATGCAGGTGCTGCTACCAATCCTGTTTATTGCTTCAGAGAATTTTTAAATAGGACTTTGCATTTAAGGTGCTAATGAAAAACTTAGTTCTGAGAGTAAGCATGCTTTCCAGTGAAACATATTTAGGTGAAACACCTGGAAGAAAAACACCTCGTTATCAGGTTCCTGGCAAGACATTTGCACAAAAGTCACTGAACCACACATCACCTAGAGTGGAAAAAGCCCAATGTAATATAAAGAAAGGTATCTGTCTCTCCAGTAGCTCACTGAATTTTAAAAAAGAGCTTTCACATTGTAATAAGCAATCTCTCACGTAGATTCACTAAGCAGTTGTTGCTTTATAACTTCTGGCTATAATAAATCTAGACTCAGGCTTCTACAAAATATGGAAATCTCAAGCCTTACGCACACACATACACACACACTTTACCCTGTTATCGCAATTTTTTTTTTATCTTTGTCAAAACAGTGTTGGATACAATAAAATGCATAGAAAACCTAAAACACCCAACTCTTGCATCACATAATTTAATAATGAAATAAAATCCAACATAATCCTCTCTGTGCATAAGCTTGAACAAGGCAGAGATAGCGAAGTCCCTCACATAGGTGAGGTCACCTTCTTCCTGTAGTTTTCATTTAGCTCTGCAGAAAGCCTTATATGTTGTTTGCAGGGGGAAGGAGGGGAATTATTCATAGGTTCCTTACCTCTGCTGCTGGCATACAGAATCACCAGGGCGACCGCTGCACAAGTCATAATGAGCAGCAAGACAGCCAGACCGATTGCCACAATGCTCCAGGATTGCTTTCCAGATTTTGTTGATTTTTCCACAATATCCATTTGACTTTCTGATTTCCCCATTATTGTAACTCTAAAACGAGGAGGGGAGCGTAAGAAATCATTAACAGCACAGCTAAATCAATATAGGGGTAAATGCATGACAAATCAGGGAGAAAAAGGAAGTAGAATAAAAGCAAAGACAGACAAAGAAAACTTCCAGATTATTACATGTATTTGTCCATTTGATTGTCCACAGATTTGCCAACCTCATTCTCCATCTCCTGTGCCTACCAGATGGATTGCACCCAGGGTGTGCTGCTGGGGGTGCTGCTCTGGGTTATGCTATCCTAGACTCTCTGTGGTGCAGTGTCATAACTTCAAGAGCTTTCTTTGGGAAGTGTGGAAAAGTCTCATGACCAGGTTGGGCAACTCCTTTCTCTCAAAAGCCAGTCCCCAAAGGGGAAGGAGGGAAAAGATTGCCTTCTTCCAGTCCCGATTTCAAGAAGTATCCTGCTGTTTCAAAAAACTTTCCTCTTTTCCTCTGTGGATGTGAGTAGCTCTGCTGGGCTCTGTTAGCAGCAATAGAATCCAAAAAGAGATTCTTCCAGGTGTCAGCGTCTTCAAGCTGTGTCTACTCTGTCCTTAGCAGAGATGAAGGGTTTGGAACGCAGAAAGCTTACAGAATATGTGTCAGCTCCTAGGTTTGCAGGAGCTTCCGACCTACAGCTTCTCGGTCTTCTCAGAGCCATACCCAAACTTCTGAGCTCAGCTGTGTGCAATTCCTAGCTTCAAGCAAACGCTCCTGAGCAGCAGGGGGAGGAGAGGTTGCATCACGGAGGCAGACTGAGGGCTATGTACTCAGAGCCTGCAAGCAGCACAAGCTACACTGCTGCAGCTTCTACGAAGTTTCCCCTAGCTTTCCTGAAACCTACTTCATCTCAGCTACCAGATTATTTGGCTGTTGTGCTCACAGGAGGGGTGTGAAGTCAAAGGGGTGCAAAACTATTGAAATCCCCTTGCTCTGGCTGTGCTGGCAGGTTTTGGGAGTGATACATGGAAATAGCTTCTTGTTTGAAAATACAGTGATATACGGATTGTTGCATAGAATTCCTCTTGTATGCTGTTACTTGGAAAATTATTCGGTAACAACTCTGAAGGACGGTAAAAGCAAGGGCAGAATGGGCATGTGATTTCCCTTGGATTTTATTTTATTTTATTTTATTTTATAGTCATATCCAGAATTAGCTTTGGAATGAAAGGAGTAGGAGGTTGTTTTTTCCCTGTAGGCTGCTTTATTGAGCTAATGTAACTCACTGCCAAAGTTAACACTACATAAATCCTAAGGCTGGTACCTCTCTTGACCTGAGCACTTCACCAACACTGAGTTCTGTGTGTGTTCAGGAGGAAGTGCTGAGGACAGAGCGGCAGTCCTGTTTACTGGGAATGCACACACAGAATGTTCCAAGACTAACAGCACAGCCTTGCTTCCCTGAACGGAGTAGGAAACAAACAATGAATTCCAGTCTCTTCGGCCAGGACTCCAAGCCTCCTCTTCTAGTCAGCACTTGCCTCAAAACCTCTCTGAGTGTTTGCCTTTGTTTCAGGGTCATGTTACGTTTTAGGCTTCTGTCAAACGTGAAGGCAGCTATTCTGATTCCTCCATCTGAAGAGGAGCATAAGAAGACAAAGGTCTGAAAAAAATGGATGCACCATACTATATTCTCACCACACTTGTAAATATGCGAAAAATAGCTACAGAAGGGAAGGTTATCTAGAAGGACAGTTATACAACTAATATGAGTTAAATGATCTCTTATATCTTCTTCAGGGAGTTCCACATCTAGCACAAGGTTATTTCCCTATGCATGTGAACCTTACTGGTGAACAGATTTATTATTACAATGCAACGTAGCTGGCTCTGAGGAAGGTCTACCTAATTAAGGCCCATAATACTGCAATAGACAAGCACCTCACAGGATTTAATGTAGTTATTCTTGCAACATACATACCTGTGGAACACTGAAGGGCATTACTCTTCCCATTTCACAGCATGGAGATTCAAGATGCTGAGAATCTAGGAGCTTTATTCCTACTTCTTTCTGCGGATGCCTGCTGTAGGCACTGTGACTAACATAGTTTCTGAGGCTAAGAAAGCTAGGAGGGATTTGACCGCCTACTACTCTGGATGTAGACCCTAGCTCCCCATGTAATCAAGAGACAGAGTTATTATGAACACCTAAATAGGCATCTATAATAAATAACTTGAACATAGCCCAAAGTGCCTTAATCAAGCAATCAATGGCCACGAAGGACATAGATCTCTCTTATGTCCCCAGAAAACTCATTGATTCCCACAAAAAGCATTGCCATAATCATAAAGAAAATCCTGCAGAACTTTGAGGGGAGGAGGAAATGGGAACCATATCAAGAATCTTTTCCTGCACCTCTAATGGCTTCGCTTCCTTGCAGAGCTGAGGAAAAGGTGTACCATTTCCAATAGGAAATGTAGGGAACTTTGGGTGTAGCAATGACATTGGCTTGCATTTAATAAAGATTATCTCAGGTCAATCTGAACTTTAGATGGGAAAGTCAGTGGTGACAGATCAGTGAGGACAGATAGGTATCAGTGAGGAATACTTTAAGTAGGGCTGAGCCTGTTTTGGATTAAAGAATGTAGGAAAAAGGAGAAATGGATTAGTGAGTTTATCATGTCCCTTCAAGTCATATTTTAGATTATTTTTTAACATTTTTTTCTACAGTAGGTCAGTATCTGGGTGAGCAATAGCAGTGGACCACTCAGAGCAATCATCTAACAAAAGTCCGTGGTGGTTGGGGAGAAGTAAAGGAGTTACCTGACTATTGATACTATACTCTATTGGGAATATTTTATCTATTTTATCTTCTTAAGCTTCAAATCTGGACTGACTGGCAAATTCAGCATATGCTTTAAGTGCCGTAGGTATATTTACATTGTCTTTTCCAGGCAAATATAACCAAGTCAACTGGAAGCTGCAGGACCGTGCTCAGCAATAAGCCTGAGCCAATACAGGCTGTTAATACAACCAGAAAGGTCTATAAGCTTAGTAGTGTTTGTAGCAGCTAATGAACATCCACCCAATCAGTGTGTGCTTCAGACACTTAAATTATACAGAAAGCAGATAATGAAATCAAATGTACTGGACCTAAAAAAGTTGCGACTGATAGTTGTTTTTAAGGTATTAGTGAAATAATCCACTAAGCAGTTTGACTGATGAAACAGACTGGAAAAATTTGGCACGGAAAATCCTGAAGAGAATCCCTTTGTACCTTTTAACTCAGGAGGAAACATTTTTTTTCTATTTGACACAACTATGGGCAAATTCTCCCCTAAGGAGAGGCAAGCAGAGCTACTATTAAAATCAGTCAAAGGAACTGTGAGTATGTATGTGAGAGCAGATTTACGACCTTAATGTAGACATACTGAGCGTGGGAAGACTTGAATACTTTTAAAAGGTCTTTTATTGGTATGAAAGGATCTTGTCATTGTTTGTTTTATCGGTCACGACATTATACGCTTTCAATTTGTGCTAAAGTTTGTAGAGGGAGACACGAGCTATAAAATACAAGTTGATAGACACAGACATAGCAATAATAGGCAGTATGAAGGATTTTGATTTAAGACTGCATTATCTTGTTTTTATTAGATGTTTCTCTTCATGATGGGAAAGCCGATAGCAAGTGTTTAAATTGCCATGCTGTAAGAAAGTCAAAGAAGGACAGTACTTTTCTCCTGTATGAAGAGAAGCATCAGCCACTGTAAAGAACGTATTCGCAAAATCATTAATTCTGACTGTCTTGCAACTTTGTGTGGCCACTGAAATAGAGTAATCTGTCATTTCAACTGGTCTCCACCAGTGCACTGAGGTCCCTGTTCTGTTCATTGCTTTTAGGAGGGAGGAATTATTTTAGTCTCTGATATAGTGTCAGTATCACCTTGTACCCTTTATGGTAAAGGAGACCTGGTGATGCAAGGTGGCAGTATTTTTTTTTAAAGTTTCACAGACTACTACACTATTCATAAACCTTTTCCCTTCTGAAGTGCCTTTCAAACAGAAATGACTAAAAGAAATTCAGTTCTGTTGTACCCTGATGGGAAAATTGAGGCACAGGAAAGTGTTGTGACTTGTAAAAGTTACAAAGGAAGTCACTGCCTGGGAAAATGTTCACATGCTGGTCCTTCATCTGCTAGTCTAGTTCCTGACCCATTAGACCCTTATTTTACAAATGAGTTTAAAAAGTGTAATCACTATTTAAGTGAAGGAGAGTACCAATCTGGGGAATTCCTTTTCTAGAAACTGAGAAAGAGTTGGTATGAAAATGTGTGTTTTTCTTCCCCAAAAGCAATTTAGACGCAAAACATATGAAACAATGAGGCGTTTGCTGTTTGCATTGGGTTACTTTGAAATGATTTTCCCCCTTTTGCTTGCTTTGTAACTAAAGGAGGTCCCTCTGTGAATTGGCAGATGATGAATTTGGATTTGTAAAGAGCCTGCAATGACAAGATTGCATTTTTTAAAAAGCCTCAAATGATAGATTTCATATTAGGAACCTGAGAGGGTGGCACGTGAGTTGCCAGTCTGGACAACTTCCTACAACTGCTTTTACTGTGGATGTTAAGACCCCAAACACAATTATTTGCTAAAGAGATGCTTCCTCAGCCATAAGAGATCCCAAAGCACACAGAACTATTGCACTTCTGGTAGAGAAGGAGGGAAGCTAGTCTGGAGTTCTTACACAATGCTTTTCTTGTTAAGAAAATTTCTCAAGTCTGGGGGGAAATTATGGTCAGAGAGCTCCAGCCCAGAACAGCAAATAGTCTAGCTGTTACCTCACTTGCTTGGGAGACTCTACTTGATTCACAGCTGTGAATATTTTTGTTTTTAGATTTCCTTTGGAGAATCTGGAATAACTGTGGCTACAGCTGGGACACTGCACTGGGAGGAAGAGAGTATTCAAGTATACTACAATCATTTATTTGCCTACCATGTCAAATTAACCTTCAACTCTTGGTTTAGAAGGAATTTTTTTTCTAAAGACAAAATTGTGGAGGGTTATGCATATGCTTTTTTTCTCCTGTGTGTTTGCTTTATGGTCAGCCATGTGTACATCATGAACCACGCACTAGCATTACATGAGTATGTATCACCTAATTAGTTTTCTGCCACTCCTGGGGTTTTGCACAGTCTCTCCCCAGTGTCCTCACTGTGGCCTTCTGCATGTTAGTCTCTCAACAACTCATTTAGGTTACTCGTAAGACAATTTGTTGTGTTTAGTACTGATATAACTGCGTGGTCTGAGTCACCTGAATAGATGATATAATGGTTGTTACTCTCTGTATACTCTAAGAAATCAGGGGCTACATGGCCAGTATGGCTGCTATTCACCAGCTAGCACTCTAGGGGTTCTCCTGCAGGTGCTAAGACAGCCAAATGTTTAAACAGCTCAACCTCCTAAAGCAATCAGAAACAAACAGGATGTGGTGCGGGCATCATCTTTAGTATGATGTGGTTTAAGCATTGTTACCTTGGAAACCAGCTTTCCAACTCTTATCTGCAACACTTTTTATCCCCTTATAAACTGATCCATACTAAGATATGAGAGAAAATTACATACCTCTGGATGCCAGGGTTTTGTTCTTTGCTCTGAATACATGCAAAAGGTCACATACAAATTTTGATTTCTCAGGCAATCATCCAAAGCCTTTAGAATGATGTGGGCATACAGCTGCTCTTATGTAATCACTTCTTT